AGAAAAACTAATTATGATGTTGGAAGTCAGGATAGAGGTTATGTTTAGGGATGAGAGATGGAGTAATTTGGGGAGTGGCATAAGGAGTCTACTGAGGTGCTGGTGATATCCTACTTTTTGACCAGAATTGCAGAACACAGGGGTGTTCTCTTTGTGATAATTCAATGATCTTTATAATTATCTATTGTGTACTTTTTGAATGCTGATTATACTTCAGTAAAAAGTTGAAGAAAAGATAGAAGGTTTTGAAACATTTATTGTACACAAAATTTTTCAACTGGTGAATAAAACAACTAGGTTCTGGTTGCTTTTTTGAAAACCTCATATGTATTATTATCATTATTATTATTTAATTTATGTTGAAAGTTTTTTAGAGATGAAAAAATCATCTGATGAATGAGAATGAGTAAAAGATGAGCAGAGTTATCATATGTTAATAGTGAAAACTCCTTAATAATACTTGCATACAAAAGAAAAGTATTCAAAAATGAAATGATTAAATTATATAACTATGAATGCTATAGGATTATCTGTGCATGAAAATATTGACATACTGTGAATGAACACACAATATAGATGATCAGAGAAAGAAAAAACTATGTAAATATAAATCAATGTGAACACAGACTACACCAAAGAAGGTTAAAGTTGAAGCAGAGTTAGAGAATATCAAGTTGTTTCAATCCAGTCATTTCACAGTGAAGGAAACTGAGATCTGGAGTGTTAATCAATGCATTCTAGTAAGTGGTCCCTCTAAGAGTGTATTCTTACCCTGAGGATGGGACCCTTTCCACTGTTGTACATATGAGAGGGAGGAGGACACAGAATAGAGTCAAGGACTGCTGCTGGAAGCCACAAAGGGGACAGAATAACTGGAAGAAGTGCTGAGTGGGAAATAAAAGGTCTAGCAAAAGACACGTGGTTGTGGGAAGGAGTGTGGCTTCTCAAATAGGGAAGTGACCGGGGTAAGGTTTCCACTGGCAGAGAGGAGGTTGATGGAATGTGAAATTGTGTGGGGTAGGGACATGACACCAGAGTTCTGAGGAGAGCTCTCTTTCTAGGGGAACAAAAATCATCCACTGAGATGAACTTGGGTGAGAGCCAGTTAAGAACTCAGGAAAAGATGAACATGAGGATGCCCTTGGCCTGAGCACAAATGAGGTGAACAGAGGGAGCCTGTGGAAGGCTGGTGAGAGAGAAAAAGCACTGGGCTCCCCCAAGATATCCAGGACTCTCTACTCAGGCTGGAGTCTAAGCATAGAATATCCCACACATCTGATTGTGTGTATCTAGACAGCCTGTATAACCACCTCTTTCTCTCTTCATTGCCTTTTATATAAATTTCAGATTCTTGGATCTATGTTCATAAGTATTCACCAGTCCAAATAGTCTGTCAGTTTCCCTTCTCATGGAACCCACTCCCCTCTACCTCCCCCACCCTTTTTGTTGGAGCTTGAGCTGGATGAGTCTTTGTCTGTTGAACTAACATCCTTAGGAGTTTGGTTTATTTTTCATGAAAGTAATTGAAATATTTTAATCATGAGCTTGACACAGTCAGGTTTACATTTTACGGAGCAACTCTGGAGCAGAGTGCTGAAGAGATCTGGAGAGGGTTTGGATTGTGACGTACAGCTCAGTTATTGTGGTTGTAATCTGGGTCACACATGATGAAAGTAGAACTAAACGTCAGTGGAGTTAGAGAGGAAGAGGCAGATTTTACGAATTATGGAGAGAAATGATATAGTGATGTGGTGACTGTGGGGAGTCAAGGAGAAGTAAGTTTCCAAAGAATGCAGGTTTCTGGGTTTCTGTTTGGACGATTGAATGGGTATCGCCATGTCATGGGATGGGGCTATCTGCTCTTCTCATTCCCTCAAAGGAGAATTTTCCCTAAATATTTTTTGTTTCTTTCCTCACTCCTTATTCTTTCCCATGAAAATAGAGTGAATTATCTCATTGGTGAGTCTAGGAGAGAGACTGTGTATGTAATATGTCAACACCTTCTTCCCCCTCTTTACCTCTGAAGCCAAGTTCCCCTCAGAACTGTCAATTCTCATGTCCTCCTCCGTGCCCTGTCTCGCATAGGAAGAGACCCTCAGATGGGGAAGCTTAGGGGTTTTCCAGCTTTGCCTTGACTAAGTGAGAGAATTCGTCTGCTCAGGCTGACGTAACAAGATACCACAGGCTGGGTGGCTTAAACCACAGTTTATTTTCTAACAGTTCTTGAGACTAGAAATCCAAAACAATTTGGTGTCTTGTGAAGGCTCTCTTCACGGCTTACAGATGGCTGCCTTCTTGATATGCCCTCACCTGACCTTTCCTCTGAATGTGGGGAGAGAGAGAGTGAGCAAGAGAGAGAGGAGAGGGCTCACTCTCCCGTCTCTCTTCTTATGAGGCCCCACTCTTAGGATCTCATTTAACCTTAATTACTTTCTTAGAGGCACTACCTCCAACTACAACCATGCTGGGAGTTAGGGCTTCAACATTTGAATTTGCAGAGGACACAAAGAATGAGTTTGTAACAGTGAGTAAGGCCACGTCATTTAAAGTTCAATATTAGCAAGATTACTTGGATTACACACTTAAGGGAAATTTTTTAGCAGCTTTATCAGAAGTAAAGTTGACAGGTTGATTCATCTATCTTATGTTCTATATCTTTATCTCATTTGATTCTGAATTCAGGAGGAGGGAAAGGATCCCAATTAACAGTTTCTATAAAATTAACCAGTATCATTAGGTTGTGCTGCAGTTATAAATAAACTTGAGAATCTTAGAGGCTACACACAAGGGAGTTTACTTCTCATGCAGGCAAACTCTGTGTAGATCAGTCAGCCCTTCTCTGTCTTGCAGCTCTGTTGTCTTTAACAGGTGTCCTCCAAGCTGGCACTGCAGGGCAAGATGATCAGCACACTTTGCTGCCCAGAACTCGGTCACATGACCCTAACCCAATGACAGGGGAATAGGAAGATTGGGTTTTTCCTCTAAGCCCATGGGGAAAAATGTAATAAACATAAAGCATTATATCTGCTGATCGTTTCCTAAAACCACAAACTAAGAGTTTGCCATTGACAAGAAGATTTGGGCAAAGATGAGATTTGGTTCTTATGAGTGATTTGGATGGGGCTTAAACTGTTTATTGTTCATAGAGGAGTTTGTACCTCATAGAAATTGCAAAATATCTGTGACTATAATCGAAAGAGCTCACTGAGTGTAACTTCCAGCCTCATTATTAATGTTGATAAATCTGAAAGCGGAATAATGCTACAAATGGGATTTTAAGGGACCCTTCCCCTGCATTCAGAGAATTAATCAAGGTCATTAAAGTGATATTATAGTAATAAACATATGACCTGAGTCTTAAAAAGTCTTTGCATTCACATATTCACACACATTAACCAGTCAGGACCATTGACAAATCACCAACTACTTCTCAAATGGACTACTTAAATAAATTCAAATATGAACAAATGGTACCCTTTTTGACAAATATTTTTTATTGCATCACAAAATTTAACTTCAACACAGATTTTTAATGTCTTCCATTGTATGCACCCTCTTGAAAAGCTGCATTTTCTGACAATTATAATCCAACACTGTTTTACACTGCTGAGAAGTTTAGCCCTCAGGTTGAAAACCATGCTGCTCTTCCAAGACTTCAAATTATGGATGCCCCGGGGTTAAGCGATCAAAATACCTCTCTAGAGGATATTGTTCTGTACACGATTGTATCTGGGATTCTAGAAACTGAAATGGTAATTATCACAATGCATTTTAATTCTTCGTTTAAATATACTTCTTCTAGTTTAAAGCTCTTCGATAGGAATGAATACATTGTCAATCTCTGTATGTTCCCACACCTACTAAGATACTTGGTACCAAGCATGTGTTGAGTGACTTTTTGGTGAGTGAATATATGAATTAAACTCAATAGGAGGGATTATTCTTTATATTTTTTCAGGATCCTATGCACTCTGGGATGGCTGCAACTTTATTTCTAAGGATAATGGAATGCTGGCTATAGTTTATACCGTTGCGTGGGAAAACCATAAGAGATTTGAGAAAGCAAATTCTCCAATTTATAAGTGGGCCAGTGAGAATCAAAAAATGAGAAAGGTGGAGAAATAAGAGGGGAAATGGAAAAGAGAATGCTTTTAGGATATTAAAGAGGGGAAGAGTACAATGGAATGTCCCGAAGAAGAGACATGATGGAACATGGAGGCAGAGTTGAGTGAAGAAACTGAAAGAATTATGATCTGTTAAAACAGGCAGAACCCAGGGAAACAATGTAGTTTCTTTTTTTTATTTTAGAGATGAGCTGCAAGTCCTAGGGAGGTGAAGTGACTTTTCAATGTCACGCACAACTTTGTCCATGGCAGTTGAGGAGAGGAAGGAGACAGGATGAAAGCTAGTATAAGGAAAGCAGCTGGAATCCAGATAGGAAAGAATAATGTTAAGTCAAAGCTGGAGGAGAAGTGAAAGAATCAGGTAGGAGGCCCAAGGTTGAGGGAAGCAGCAGATTCTCTTTGTTACAGTAAGTGGTTGGTGTGAGGATTGTCTGTTGGTGGAAGAAGGAAGTCAGAATACAGATACCGAGGGGTAGGTTTGCTGAGAACAGAGAGAAAGAAAAGAACATCTACAAATGACTTGCTGTTTCTGCAACTTGCATTGCTATCTGTTCTTTCAGGAGATGACAATGCAGATGATAAGAACATCTGTCAGCTGCCCAGTTGAACAGATCTGGGTGGAGAGTAGTGGACTTTCCCATGATGGAGTTGGACTTTAAGGATACCAGAATGCTTACAATCTGAGCATTCCTGTCTCCATGTCTAGTTTACTCTTTTTAAGGATGATGGTAGAGCATGGGGCCCAGTGTTAGGAAAACATCCTTAAGGTAGACATAGCATATCTATCTGTTCGGTAACTGGTTCATTTTCTATCTTCTCTCCTTCCTGCCTGCTTTTTTTTTTTCCTTAAACTACCTCACTTTCTACCCCTCATAGTGGTCCAAGAAGACATCTTGTTCCGTGTCATCCAGATCTCATCCTTTGCCAACCACTCCTGGGCACAAAATCAGGGCTCGGGTTGGCTGGATGAGTTGCAGACTCATGGCTGGGACAGTGAATCAGGCACAATAATTTTCCTGCACACCTGGTCCAAGGGTAACTTCAGCAGTAAGGAGTTGGTAGAGCTGGAGCTGCTGTTCCGTGTCTACTTCAGTGGATTAACTCAGAGGATTCAAGACTGTGGCTGTCAATTGCAGTTTGAATGTAAGTTCAATCTATTCAATTAAGGGAATCCTTAAGAAACTTCTTCTATTTCTGGGAAATATTCTCACACCTTTCTGGACTGTTTAATATTCCCGTAACACCATAAAAATCTTCTTTCATAAACATTTGGGGGGTTTTTCCAGACATTGACTTCTCAAGATTTCCTAGACTCTTGCTTCTTCTGGACACTTTTTTTCTTGTGCTCTTTTATCTTTCCTCAGTGGTCTCTCTTCTATGGCTTAAAACCCAGATTCATGCAATTGTCCCACTCTGTGCTTGACTACCTTAAAATATGATTGCTTCCTCCATTCAATTTCTTCAAAGGTTTATGCCCGTAGTCCAACAACTATTATGACCCATTTCATGCACCCTGGAATGCTGCACTCCCACCTCCCTTGCATGGGTTCCTCCCTCACTTCCTTTAACCTATATCATGTGCCTCACCTATCCTTTCTCCCCAACTTCTCCAAATTAAACTCTTAATTCTTGGCATTTATCCCTCATGCTCCCTTCCCCATCCCAACACTTCTTATCTTCCTTGTTCCTGAACAAACGCATCTTTGACTCATTCTCACACCCATATAAAACCTTCTTGCTCACTTTTCTAAAAGGCCCTAGGGTCTTATATCATTCCTCTCATTTTTTGCTGAATCTCTCTTTCTCCTTCCTCCCTTTTCCCAGATCCCTTTGAATTACAGGTGACAGCCGGTTGTGAGCTGCATTCTGGAAAGACCACAAAAAGCTTCCTCCAGGTCGCTTATCAAGGAACAGATTTCCTGAGTTTTCAAAACATGTCATGGGTACCATCTCCAGAGGGTGAGAGTAGGGCCCAGAGGGTCTGTGATGTAATCAATCAGTATGAAGTCATCAAGGAAACAGTGTTTAAGCTCATCAGAAACGTCTGCCCCCGATTTGTCTTGGGTCTGCTCGATGCAGGGAAGATGGATCTCCAGAGGCAAGGTTAGTCCAGCCCCTTCCTCTAAGATTTTTCCAAGTCTCGACCCTTCTAAACATCCCCTTCAAAGCTAGGACAAGGAAAAGTTCAAGAGGGAGAGGGGTTGTGGGCAAAACATTTCTAGAGGAGGATAATACATGCATAGTAATTTGGATTATGTGTCCCTAAGCTGTGTTACAGTCCTCGTCTGAATAACTTTCATGTCCTCTGCAGTGAGGCCAGAGGCCTGGCTGTCTAGTAGCCCCTTCCATGGGTCTAGCCAGCTGTTGCTGGTTTGTCATGTCTCCGGATTCTACCCAAAGCCTATTTGGGTGATGTGGATGCGGGGTGAACAGGAGCATCCGGGCAGTCAGCAAGGTGACGTGATGCCCAATGTTGATGGGACATGGTATCTTCGGGTGATCCTGAATGTAGATGCTCAGGAGGCAGCTGGCCTGTCTTGCCATGTGAGGCACAGCAGTCTAGGAGACCAAGACATCATTCTCTACTGGGGTAAGTAAGATTAAATCTGTAAGTATGAGAAGGTGATTGTTGAGCTTAGAGGGTAGGGCAGAGGAAACTTTCGTGATGCCAGATCTAAATGAGAGAGATATTGAGAAGGAATGAATACAGCTGATTCCAGGAATAGGTTTGGAACATGAGAGACATTCAGATGTAAGAGATCTGGGGGGAGAAGAGAACCCCTTCCCTGAGCAGAGAAGGGAATAGGATGATTGATGGGACTCATACCTAACACACATGTTAAGGCAGGGAAATTAATGGATGAAGCAGCACTGGCAGTGGGTTTAAAGTGCCATGCATGTGTCTCTCCAATATTCACAGGACATCAGCTTTCCATGAACTTGATCCCCTTGGCTGTGATAGTGCCCCTAATACTTCTAGTGGTCCTTGCATTATGGTTGAAGAAGTGCTGGTAAGGTCTTTGTATTTCCTCCTCTCTTCCTAATTTATTATTTCACATTCCATTTTTACCTCCCTTAGCTTTTATCTCTTGACCATCCCCACTTATTGTCAATCTCTACCTCTAATTTATGCAGAGTTTCTCCCTATTTCTCTTCTTCCACAGCTCATACCAAAACATCCAACGAGATTCCTCACCATGCTTCCCCCACTGCAATGAGAACTGTACAGCCCAGGAACATAGGACAACAGAATAAAGTCATCCTTTCTACTCTTCCTTTAAATTTTTGTTTCTCTGTCTGATTTATAACCACATTAATATAAACTAACTTAAATTCTGGAAGTCAGTATGGAATGCCTTCCCCGTAATGTCCATTTGCCCAATAGTACTCAACCTTCAAAGCATATTTCTGATGTCACATCCTCTAAAAATTTTCCCTGATCCGTAAGTGGGAAGCAGTTTCTCCCTTATCTGAGCCCAGATAGCACTTCAAATGTACTCTGCTACATATACAAATCATTTCTTACCCTGCATTGCAGTTACTTAGTTCTTTCTTCCCCTTCCAATACATAAGCTCCTTTGTGACAATGATCATGACAAAGGTGCCTTTCCTGAGTGTGTAATATGTGCTCAGTGATAAATCAAACCAAAACAAACAAACCATATCCAAGTTGGATTAACTATCATGTTGATAGTCTTTTATCATTATACTAATTCCTGATATTGTTGTAGCATTTGAAACATTGATGTTTCCCTTTTGCTTCAATGTTTTTTACTTAGTCAGGAAAGTCCACAGTCCTTTAGCTCCCTCATTTTCTCCCTAAACTCTTAAAGAAAAATGCAGCTTTGCCACTTGCCATACTTATTTTCTAAATACAGAAAGGCAACTCTTTCCAACTTATTCTAAATACAAAGAGAGAAAGTGTATGCAGGCTGTGTTAAGGGTAGTGGGGCAGATGTGTCAATGAATGGTCAAGAAAAAGGAGCAAGAGAGCTCAGGATTAGGGTGGGATCAAGATAGGCGATATATATAGAAGATTCTCCCAAGGAGTGGTGCTATCCAATACCCTTCACTAGATTTTGATTCCTTTAGGTTCCACTTGCTAATTGTAGTGATACGTGTTAAACACTGAATACGAGACAGGTACATACAACTTATAAACTAGTGGGGGAGAAAACAACCCAGATTGTACCCACCTGCTTAAATTTCTATGTTTACCACTTCAATTTATTTATGTATTATTCACTGGTTACATTTTTTGTTTCTTTTTAAAAATTTTGAATCAACTTTATGGATGTATAATTTACATACAGTAAAACACATTTTTTTAAGTGTACAGTTCTATCCACTTTGACAAATGTATACACCCATGTAAGAAGGACCACAATCAAGAAATAGAACATTTCTATTATCCCAATACCCTTATACCCATTTGTAGTTAAACCCACTGCATCTTTGTACTTACTGATATACTTTATGCTAGGTAAGCTTAGAGTTGTCTTTTCCATGATTTTATTAAAATGGAATAAAGTGCATGTACTCTTTGTATCTGGTGTGTTTGTTTTCACCTATCGTGTAGTTATGTCTTCCACGTTACTTATTAGTGTACTAGTAGTCTATTGTTCAATAGAATTTCATCTATGAATCTACTATATATATGTATATATATATTTTTTTGTCCATCTACTTTTTGGTGGACATTTGGTTTGTTTCCAGTTAGAGGTTCTTCAAATAAAGCCATCATTGATGTTTTGTTTGTTTTGCTTTTGTGTTTTTCTTTTATTTTTTTGTTTGGTTATCCACCTGGACTAATTCTGTAGATTCTGGCTGCCCTGTAGTTTGCAGCCATTGATGTCTCTGCTCACTTTTTTTAGTATAAGACTCCTTTCTTTCCTTTTTTCCTTCTTCCTTCCCTCTCTCCCTGTTTCCCCCTCTTCCTCTTTCCTTCTGCTTCCCTCTCTCCTTCTGTATCTCTCTTTCTCTTTTCCTCCCTTCCCCCTTCTTTCTTTCTCTTTCCTGGCTTCCTAGGAGTCACATCTAAATCAGCATAACTTAGTGGTAACCAGTGATTAGTCAGAAGTTGTGCCTTTACACCTTAAACCAGTAAGGCTTCCAGCTTTTCCTGAGAGGATCTGTGAGGTTTGGAGCACAGGTTTACCTTTCAGTTTACAAATATTCCCTGGCTTCTACTTTTTCTTTGTGCAAAGCTTCATGTTTCAACAGAGGTAAAAAGATAACTGTGGCCCTCTTTGGTCTCTCCTTAGTATATGTGCAGCTTTCCAAACCTCTGAGAATAAGTGGGAGCTTATCAAAGTCCTTTATGACTGTCTCATTTCCTAGAAGTCTTTGTTAAGTTTTGCCTGGTCTCTTCTTTGCCTCAATTGGCATTGCAACCTCATAAAAATTGGCCTTTTATTTTTGCCACCAATTGCTATTGTTTTCTACAACCTCCCTGGGCATGTGGCCTCTCTATGGAGTTCCAAATCTAGCATACCCTTCTGGTGACAGCAAGATTGCTAGTCCTCAGCCTATGGCATCACCAAGCCAGAAGAAGGGGGAGAGCAACCCCAAGTTAAATTGCCCTCAGTGTTTTTGCTAAGGTGCAGATAGTTCTTCTAGCACTTTTCAATCTGTTGTATGCATTTGGTCATTTTCCAGAATTCTGAAATGGTTTATTTTGAAAATTTTATCCTGTATTAAATTTGGAGAAAATATTTGCTGAGCTCCTTAGTCTGCCATTCCGGATGTCCTACTCTATGTAGACATTTTATGACATTATCAATCAAACAAACAAACAAGAGTTTCACTTCCTGAAAATTGAAAGCAAAATGCAACAATGAGGATAAGCACTTACCAAGTTGGTGACACACCACAAGTCAGGGACTATTTCAATCGACTTTAAAGCATAACAATTTGTTTATCCTCAGGGGATATACCTTAGGGTAAGAAAACATATCTTAAATTGTTTTCAATAGCGATATTGGTGATAACAGTGTTTGTCTAGTTATGCTAAGACTGTCATGTGTGTGCAGTCTAGTGGGATATAGTCTATAGTGGGATGGGTGAATAGTATATGGTGTAGTGTACAGTGGGATTAGGTTAAAACATAACTGTCTTGATTAATTGGGAACCAGGATTTTCTGTGTGGGAGAAGAGAAGTTGATATGAGATAGATGAGTTGAACTCTGTAGTTTTAAACTTGAATTGAAAGTATAAATATGAACTCATCACAATATTTATCCTTTAAAAAAAATCATTTCAACCACTTAAAAAGCCCAGAAACCAAGACTAACTTAGAACTCAGACTATGGTTTTCACATAATATTTTCCCACTAAATGGAACCAGAAGGCCTCAGAGAAATGGCTAATTTCTAGTTTGGGACAGGAAGTTTCTATAAGACTGCAACATCTTTGCCACACCAGAAAGTAATGGAGAGCTCTGTAATGAAGACATGTTGAAAGCATTCAGAAGCTAGAGACTTGAAAAGAATCCCATGTAACAGATGGAAAAAAATTAGCCTTGGTGAAAACAATGGCTAGGATAGATTCAAGTATTTCAAATATGTTGAAATTCATGGGTATGCAATTATGGGGAAAAAAACCCCTCATTGGTCATCTAGGGAACAAATCATTCTCTTTAAAACTGATGAATGGAGAGAATCAAGTACTTATTCTGTCTTTGGTTATCTCAGAGTAATGAGATAGTAATTTAAAAGAATATATCTATTTAGAAATGGTCTAATTAATAAAAAAAAAAAAAGATATCATATCTTTATGTATCCTCTAAAGAAATACCAGATCTAGGCCAGTTGTTCTCAAGGTGTGTTCAGGGGTACCTGGGAGTTCCTGACACATGCTCAGAGGGTCCAGGGGTTCAAAACTGTTCTTATAACAACACTAAGATATTACTTTAGTGTACGTTATTTTCAATAGACTATATGACATGTAATATTGCATCAGATTGTATTCAGAAGCAGATGTGAAAATATAGCTGTCTTCTATTAAGCCAAATGTTAAAAAGAATTGCAAAAATATTTTTAAAAATTAAAAAGCTGTAAAGCCACTATTCTCATTATATTTTTTGGAAAAAAAAATTACTAAAGACATTACTCTTTAAATACACATTCCTTTATTTTTATTTTAAGTTAGTTAATAAATACATATGCAAAAAACTTATTAGGTTTTAATTCTAATATAGTATCTATCTATTTATCTCTATCTAAAATTCCAGCCCTCATACATTGCTTGTGGTGATGCAAAACAGTACAGCTCCTGTGGAAAACTGTTTGACAGTTTCTCAAAATTTAAACATAAAGTTAACCATTTGACCCAGCAATTTCACCTCTAGGTATATCCTCATAACAATTGAAAGTAGATATACAAACAAATATTTATACACAGAGGTTCATAGAAGCATTATTCACAATTGTGAACAGTGAATAATGAATAGTGAATAGGAAACAACCCAAATGTCCATCAATGAATGAATGAATGGATAAACAAAATGTGGTATTTACATATGATGGAATATTATACAGCCGTAAAGAGAAATGAAAGAAAGTTATATGATATAATGTATGATGCACCTCAAAAACATTATACCAAGTCAAAGGAATCAGAAAAGTAGACCTATTGTATGATTCCATTTATAGGAAATATCCAGAGTGAGTAAATCCATAGAGACAGAAAGAGAAGATTATTGGTTAACAGCAGCCTGAGGAGAAGGAGGAATGGGGGTGACTGCTCAATGGGTATGGGGTATTCTTTTAGGGTGATAGAAGTGTTTTGGTTAGAACTGATGGTTGCATAGCATTGTAATGTATTAAATGCCACCGAATTGTACACTTTAAATTTTATGTTATGTTTCACCTCAATAAAAAAATGAGTAAGCAATTATAAGACATTCACACTATAACATGAAATTCCATATGAAACAGTATAATATGAAACAACTCTAAGATGTTCCATTAGAAAAGAATGGAAGAAAAGATGGAAAATCTTTGGAGAGAAAAAGTTCCCTACAAAGTAACAGAATGACAGAAATTTTGTTATCAATAGCAGATGCAAGAAAACAACAAAATAGAATTTGACACTAGAATTTGAAATGAAGGTATAGTCTGCTATTCAGTTATAAGAATCATATGGACCTCACTGTATGTACTCTTTAAAGAGACACAACAGCTTGGGACCAGCCCAGTGGCACAGAGGTTAAGTTCGCACCTTCTGCTTAGACAGCCAAGGGTTCGTCAGTTTGGATCCTGGGTGTGAACCAACACATCGCTTGTCACGCCATGCTGTGGCAGGTGTCCCACAAATAAAGTAGAGGAAGATAGCCATGGATGTTAGATCAGGGGCAGTCTTCCTCCGTACAAAGAGGAGGATTGGCAGCAGATGTTAGCTCAGGGCTAGTCTAACTCAAAAAAAAAAAAAAAAAAAAAAAAGATACAAAACAGCAAAAAGAAAAGTGAAACTACAGGAACAGTCATGTAAAACAAAACCCCAAACCCAAAAACATGCAGTTTGAATTGAAGGGGCAATAGGGCAAAAAAGCGGTGGCTTTGCCAATCAGTATTTTTTATTTTTGGTAATATGAAAAGTTCAGAGATAGCTATTAAAAGCAAGAAAAATACAAAAATGTTTCCTTGAAAAAGAACTAAAACAGTTTAAAAATTGATTTTCCCCCAAAATCCAATAATTGTGGTCTAGGTACCATCAGAGTAAAGGCTTCATATGTTCATTCCTTTGATAAGCATGAATTCATGCAGAACTATATAGCCAGGTGTGTATGCAAGAGAAACGTGTATCACACACACAAGAACACACACTCATAGAGCAGACACACAGCTGAGTTTTTGTTGTTCTAGGCACTTCATATCCATGTTCTTAAGTGTGCCACCCTCCTGTCACATTTGACAAACTACTCTCAGATGTTTAAATCCCTCTGTGTCCAAGAAACTGTGGAGGCAGGCAAATTTTCACTGGAAAGATGTCCCTTATAGATAAACCTTGAGGCTCTTACTAACTCTTAAGAACCTATGGATCCTGAACAAAATTAAGCCAATCAAGGTCCCTGAGCTAAAAAGGAGTCTGTGGACTCACTTCCAAGTGTGGGGTAAGGTGGAATGGGTGACGAGAATTTGAAAAGCGAAGAGGTAGAGCAGAGCTGCTACAGTCACAAACAAGAGGCACTCAATAAATAGCTGTCGAATAAATTAATGAGGGCTTTTGAACTGTCTGACTCTGTGGAGTTCTCAGAATCTCTCTCTCACGAGTGCTTTTGATTTTCAGAGCATGTCTCTGGTGAGTGTACACTGAGACACTGTGGGCACTCACCGAGATTGATTTAGCATCCTCTCTGAGGCTAACTATATCTACCTCCCTGTGTGGGAGAATTAATCTACTCCTTATGCTTGCACATCTCCAAGTTCTTAATATTTATTCATGCAGGTGAATCTACAGTGCATTGAAAAAACTGAATCTTGGGTGGCCTACCCTAAACTAAAGACATACAAAGAAAAAAAAGAAGATGTAATGTCAATGGTGGGTAATGTTAAGTCTCTGCTGTTGTCTCTGGCTATTACCCAAAAAGTAGGTGAGATTATTGTCATGTGTTGGATTCTGGGAATATTGTTCAGATTTATATACTTGGGGATTTGGAGAGTTATTGTAGACTTTCCAATTAGGCAGTGATAATCTTGGATGAAGGCTACTCTTATTAATATGGTGAACCATTT